TCAACTTCACAATTGTCCTTAAAGGCATTATATTCATATTCTGGTTGCAAATGATAAAAATCAACCCAAACTAGCTCAAGTTTTAAAAGGGGAAGAATCCTACTGGTTAGTTAATTAAATTAGTAATTAATTTAAGGGTCTTCTGGCTCAGTCCAGGGCTCCCTGGAGTCAACAAGACTCATTCTCTCTATCTACCATCTCCTGACTGTGCTTTCCTCTGAGCTGGCTTCACCCTCAAGCAAGCTCTTCCTGTGGAATAAACTCAGGAATAAAATCAAGGCTTAGAATAGTTTAGCATCCCCAGAGGAAACAAAGTTTTTCACTCCTAGTAGTTCCAACAGAGGCCCCTATTGAGCTTTCATTGGCCCAAAGTGATCATGTGCCCATCCCTGCACCAATCACTGCAGCCAAAGAGATTTGATACAGATTGGCCAGGCCTGAGCCTTATGTCCCACCCACCCCACCTGCAGCTAAAGGCCCTACACAGACTATATGGGCTGAAAATGGAGAAGAGGGAGTTACCCCAAGGAAAATTAGGATTCAGTTACCAGAAGAAAATAAATGCTCTGCAGGAAGACTTTAAGAAACGCCCTAGATAATATCATCTCCATTTAAAGTTAATTAAACTGAGTCCCAGTGAAGTTAACTGAGCTGTCTGGGGCTGCATATGTAGAAAATAACGGGTCTAAGATTCAAATTCAGGTCTGTATGGCTCCAAAACCTACTCTCTCTCTACTCCACCCAGTGGCCTTTGTGTCAGTGTCTTATCCCCCTTTTACATTAAAGCGAACTGAGGCTGAATGACTTGCCCAAAGCCCATGGCTCCTGGGTGGCCAGTGAAACCTAACACCCGTCTGGTATTTAGACTCTGGTTCTTCATACACAACCATGTCATGTTCAAAAATGGTCATTGGTCCCAGGAACTGTATGCTTCACATGATAAAAGTGTTCTCCATCCTCAGATCTTGGCTCTGTGATGTTTTAGTCAATGTTTCCTCATGAAACCCTTCCCTGACCACCCAACTACACCAAATCCCCAAGCTCCTACAGCATCATAGATCTCTTTTTAATACTTATCACCATTAATGTCACATTTCTGAGCTAATATAATTAATGTCTACCGTTCTGCTAGGCATGAGGGCAGGGACCACATCTGATGTTGTACATCCTTATATTCCCAGCACCCACTTACTACCTAAGTATTTGGTGAATGAACAAATAATTGAATGAATGAATGAATCTGCCATACAGAAAGAAGTCTTTTCTAAAATATGTATGTGAACTTTGAACAAGGGCTAGTGACCAGGGTTCAGTAAAAAGGACAGCTGGGCCCTGATCAGTTTGGCTCAGTGGATAGAGCGTCGGCCTGGGGACTGAAGGGTCCCGGGTTCGATTCCAGTCAAGGACATGTACCTTGGTTGTCTGCACATCCCCAGTAGCGGGTGTGCAGGAGGCAGCTGATCGATGTTTCTCTCTCATCGATGTTTCTAACTCTCTATCCCTCTCCCTTCCTCTCTGCAAAAAAAGCAATAAAATATATTTTAAAAAGTGACAGCTGGATTATTCTCAAAGAAAGATGGTAAAGGCAAGAGCAGGGGATTTAGACAAAATGTATTTCGTTAGTTGTATGTCCAAGTACTATAATCTCCCATGGGTGCTGGGAGGAAGAAGAGGGAAAGTCAGGAATAAGAAAAGACAACCCTCCTATCTGGACTCTAGTTGCTGAATATAATCGAAACGCAGGGCAAACTTAGAATTTCAAGACAGTTCCTACATGTTAAAACAGTGGTTCTCAAGCTTTCGTGTGCAGCAGAAATACCTGAGACACTCATGAAAAGCAGAGATTCCCGGACCTCAGATTCTGTTTCAATTGTTCTGACTTAAAGAATCTGCACATTATAACCTTTCCCCACCAGATACACACACTCTAGGAATGTGACCTGTCCACTCTGTACAAAACATTATTGCAAACCTTTTCCTAGTTTAAATAATTGTTTGGCAATAAGCTAAGGGGTTCCTCATGTATCTGAAGCTTAGCCACCTTTAGAGCAAAAGCAGGAAGATTGTACCCTCAGGAGTATTGGACTCCATGAAAAGGTGCGTTCCAGCTGCAAAATCCCAAACGTGAAAATTGTAGTCCTTTACGCCCGTCTCTCCAGAGAGCATTTTCAGATCCTGTGGGGCTTTGAGGCCACTAGACCTTTACGTTTTCTCTTGTTCTGGTCCAGGCTCTGAAGCTGGGCTGGCTGACTCTCTGACTTCCAGTGTGTTCTAGGCTCTTCCATGCTATTATTGCAGAGATGCTCACTATTTCATTAATTTTCTTCAAAATACAATGTAAGTGAAATTCTACTGTGACATAAGAAGAACATGCATTTCATTGGGAATGGCTTTCACTTAGTGATGTCTGGTGGATGCTTTAAAAAAAATTAAAAAGCTCCAAACTTTTGCTGTTCCTTCGCCCTCAAGCACTCTGAAAAAACTGAGGTTCCCCACAACCTTGAAATAAGTAGAAATGTTCAAAGATAAATCATTTTTTTATCCCTTCCTTTATTTCCTAAAGTAAGCTGCCAAATCCCAAATTAAAATGGTCCTAATAAAACAGCTATTTCAGCCCAAATGTTGTCAGGAACAACTTCAGGAGTATTACCAGAAGGGGGCAGCAGTGCACAGCATTCCAAGAAAGCAAGCAACTGAAACAGAAAAAATCACACTGAAACAAGAAAATATCAAAAAGCCCGGAGCCTATAGTCATAGTAAATGCATGATCTTGAAATAACACTCTTCTGTTGTGATTTTTTCTGTTCTCAAGTGAGTGTCTGCAACTCTATATTTGTTTGGCAAATCCTCACATTAGCAAACTGTATAATCTGGTATTGCCAGAGACAGGTAAAAATCCTGTCCGCTGTTCCAGCAATATCTGTAATTACAGTCACATCACGGGGGATCAGCTACCTGTAGGACCAGTAATGGGTTGGAAAATCCTGGTGCTGTGCTTGGAATAATACTATATGTAAGTTAATGAGAAGAAGGAGAAGGAGAAGGAGAAGGAGAAGGAGAAGGAGAAGGAGAAGGAGAAGGAGAAGGAGAAGGAGAAGGAGAAGGAGAAGGAGAAGGAGAAGGAGAAGGAGAAGGAGAAGGAGAAGGAGGAGAAGACCTCTTTATTAGATCAAACATACTCAACTTCCAAGGAAAAATCAGACTCAGTTAGTGAATGCCCACTGTATGAGGAATAAAACCAATGACTCCCTAAGCCAACTCTATATTAGAATGTCAGTGCCAAATGCCAGGAAACTGTTTACATCAATGCATGCGTTGAGCATTTTCTCTGTGAGGGTCATGCACACTGTATAAAGCCCTCCACTGCTCAGAGAATCACCCAGTACCAATAAGACACAGGCAGAATACAGGTGAGGGCTCAGACTTAGATAGGTGGCAGCTTATGAGAGCTGCGGTGGGGCGCAGGTCTGGGTGACCACCAAGCTTGCACTCTTAAATTTTTAAAATCTCTTAAATCACTTTAAGAGAAGAGGGTGCTATCGGGTGTTCTGCTTATCACGAGAATAATACATATCCACTTATGAAAATACTCTTAGTGACCTGGCTGTATGTTTCCCTTGAGGCCCACCAAGGCCTTGAAATATAAGGAGCAGGTTCTGCAAACTCCATGCATTAGTATAAAGACACAAAGTCGTGCAGAAAGGTTTCATCAGAAACCGACAGAGGGCAGCAGCAGATAAAGCAGCCGGGAAACACGCTCCCTTTATCTCCCACTGGGATCCCCAGCCTCCTAGGCAGAAGGTGCTGCAGGGCTTGAGAGCGCCCATTTCCCTTGCCTTCAAAAAAAGGGACAAACTTCACATGGAGGAGACTGAGAATGTCCCCAGCAGCGATCAAAGTTCACTTAGAACATGTCTCCTTTAATAAAGGGAACTAAGAGATGAGGGAGGTGGCACTTTTTCGCCAAGGCATTTGACATCGGGATGGTTAATGTGCCAGAAACCTATAGCCTGAAGCCTGAAGGATGCTCGCTCTCCCGCGGCTCCTGGCAGACGGGCCAGGGCAGTAGTGTCCATGCCGGGCCTGGATGCACCGTGGCGACAGGTCCTGAAGGTCGCCTGTAGCCGCAGGCCCACCCGGCACTGGCATCCCGCCTGTGTGGGTAGCGTGGGCTACATCCGGGACAGCGGCCAGCCATGGGAGAGGGTGGCTGCACCATGACTGGCTCCCAGCAATGGCATGCTCATTGCTTCTGACAGCGTGTCACTCCGGCGTCTGTCCGAGACGAGCAGAGGACTTTTCAAATAAAAATCCCACCTTCTGCCACCTCTCACTGGAACAAGAGGAGATCTATCAGGGGCTGATGCTGAGAATTGGCCTGGAAAAATGAAATACTAAAAAATATATTAAAAAGTTGGGGCATAAATAAATGAAAGTGTAGTCCCTAACTTCTGACCAAAAGGCCTGTGTTATGATGTGAGCTTGACTCGACTAGGGCCACGGTCAATTGCCACTATTTAACCTGCAAAAATGGCAGTTTTGTGTGGCTTATCCCAATTAAAATAACAGCAGTTATTAAGCAGTTACTGGGCATCAGTAACCGAGTGTACGTGCAATCCAGGTGAACCCATTCAATCCTCAAACTGAGTGAGGAGGTAGGTTCTCAGATTACACCCAGTCTACAGACGAGGTCACAGGGAACCAGAGAGGCTGAGTAACTTGTTCCATGCCACACAGCCAGAGGTGACAACACTTATTCTGAACCCCGCTCCTGCACACAGGGCCTCAGGGGAAAGGACATGATAAAGGCCGAGGCGTCTCCTGGGAAGGTGGGGGAAGGACATGATAAAGGCCGAGGTGCCTCCTGGGAAGGTGGGGAAAGGACATGATAAAGGCCGAGGTGTCTCCTGGGAAGGTCGGGGAAGGATGTGCTAAAGACTGAGGTGTCTCTTGGGGAGGTGGGCTCCCAGGACCGGCCTCAGCGTCTGCTTCTCCTGCAGGTCAGTCAGTACACCTTCGCCATGTGCAGTTACCGGGAGAAGAAAGCGGAGCCCCAGGAGCTGCTGCAGCTGGACGGCTACACTGTGGATTACACCGACCCCCAGCCAGGTACCAGCCCCCCACCGGCCCTGAACCCACAAAGACCCCCTTCCCAAATCAATGCCCCACTAGTATTTGTTGGCCATTTACTTAATGAAGCCGTGTTCCCAGGGCTCAGAGGCAGGTCACTGGGACAGCCACTCAGTCCCTGGCCTGTGGAATTTCCATCTTGGTTGGGTAAATGCCATCCCAATCAAGAACGTTGGTTTTATTCAATGGATCCTTGTAAAATCAAAACAAAAACTATACATACGCTATCCCCAAAAATGTCCACACACACTTTGAATAATTATAAAGGCAGTGTTTATTGAAATAACATTTCATTTTTGAAAGTGAGCTATCGGCTGTTAAAATGTGTACACATTTTTGGGGGGACACCCTGCATAGATTTTTTTTTACATAGTTGAGCCCACATCAAGTATATACACTACCCTAGAATGCTAAAAAGAAATTCCTGAGAAAGAAATCCTATAGGAACACCAAGGACTGTATGTGTGTGTGTGTGTGTGTGTGTGTGTGCATGTGTACATGCGTGCATGCATGCCTCTGTGTGTGTGTGTGTGTGTGTGTGTGTGTGTGTGTGTGGTGTTCCACCGGTGATTGTGTATTGTGGTTGTATCCTGTGTCCCCATGGCCAAGCCTGCCTTGTACACCCAGCTCTGCTAACTACACTTCCAGGCTGGCTGATGGCACGTGAAGAGAAAGCGCTCCCTAAACGTCTTTTTTCCCAAGAAGACACCAATCCACAAGCATAGCCATCCGAGCTCCTAAGCCTGTGTAACTCAGAGAGCCACGCGAATAGTAGTATTTCTCCTAAGTTCTACTTCCTGCCCCTTCACACCTCTCCCCGCCACCACCCATTTTATCTTCTTCCCAGAAAAAAAAAATGAATAGAAATCAGCCTCAGAGAACCTTCAAAATGGGTGGGGGTGTGAAATCATTTCAGCATATTAATGAACAACAAGCACCAACAGCCCTCTCCCAGAGAAGTTTATTTTTATGCCAAATCTGCACAGGGAAGCATTTCCAACCATACTGCATTATTTGGCCCAAAACCTTTTTTTCTACTCCCATATTGCTCTCCCACATGCAACAAAATACACATAAAAGAAAAACAGAGTTTGAGAGAAGATGGGGTGTGAACCTGGGAGGGTGTGGCTAGGCAGCCCGTGGGCCCAGTCCACTCAGGGAAATTCGCACCCGAGGGACTTAGCCCGGCCTCATGCACAGGAGGTGGTTAGCGTCCCCCCAGAGCCGACCACAGAGAGCCTGAGTTAAAGGCTCTGCCCAGAAATCCTTCATCACAGATAGAACCTCCTGGAGTTTGAAACAATGTCACGCGACATCTCATTGAAAGGATGTGGCTCCTGCCTTGGAAAGCCAACCCTCCGGTGTTCTGTCATGGTTTGCGATCTTCTCAAACCATTGAGCTCCCTTCAGAGAAATGGTCACCTTTGCTGAGACCTGCAGGGTGAGGAGGGGGGCCAACAAGAGGGGGAAATGGTCACATCTTCCCACAGTGACTCGTTTTAAGCCAGTTCACCACTGTTCCCTCCACATGGTTGCACTTGGTCCTCACCCCAAACCCACCCCCGACGGAGACAGGACCAGGGTTGCCCTCCTGTTTTGTAAAGGGAGAGACTGGGCTGGGACGGGGCCAGCCCACACCCCCTTGGGCACTTGGAGTAGCTGTAGCTGCCATGTTCTCCCGAAAGCACATCCTCTCCCCACAGGAGGGCGGGGTGGGGGGCAGGGGGAGGCAGCTCTTCGGCCACCAGCCAAGGAATGTGCGCGTCTATTAGAAAGCTTCTCTTCCTCTTATCACATTGCCCCCGTGGGACATCATTTAGAAGTCCCTTTACCAGTGATGTAAAGGAGAAGTAATTTGTGTTCTTGAGAATAATAAGCAGCAGCTTCTTTGCCTTGTGTGTGCCACGTCCTATTTATTTTCAAAGTAACATTTGATTGAAAATGAGATTTAAATACTCCTAATTGCCATAAGAAAAGCCTAACTCGGAATTTCTCAAAGAGCGCTTATTAGAAATAGAAGTTCCTGGGCCCAAAACCTAAGCTCTGACCCAGAAGAGGGGAGGGCAGAATCCTCATATTTCAACAATCCTTGTGGGGCATTCTATGCATAGTCAGGCTTGCCAGCTGGAGGTGGAAGGAAGGTACAATGTAGCCAGTGCCCACGGAGGTGTGAGGAGTCTCCCCAACTGCCCCCTGAAAGGTGCCTGTGCGAATGGAGAGGATTCCCATTCTTGGCATTATCCCGGCTGTCAGTGGGCCCAGCTGTGGAGTGTTGGTGGGGCAGGCAGCCTTGTAGCTGTGCTGTCCTCGTCTTTGTATCATCCTGGGACCCAGTGGACACCCAGACACAAGCATTCGCACTAAGTCAACTTTACGTTGCTTAGGGTCCTTGACATATTAACTCGGGGAATTGGTAAATAACTATGTAAGTTTTAAATGCAGGCTGCTCGTTTCAAGCTAAAGACAAAAACACTGCACTCTACCTTTCCCCAGGTGTGGTTCGGAGAACATGCGACAATGTCTCAATTCCCATTAGAGTAAGTGGTGACGTTTTCAAATAAAAGGATATTCAAAATCCTTCAAACCACTAAGTTAATTCTTTCACAGCTTTCCCATTGTAAACGGCCCCATCCCTGTGTGCTATTGGCCAGCCTCCCGCCGGGAACCAGCCAGCGTCCTGTGCCTGGTCAGCCTCCGTCCATTCCCGGAGTGTCCCACTGCTCCTGACAGGACAGTGCCTGTGAGGTGCGCCACGGGGAGCCCGGGCACTGTCACACACCCCGTTCCGCAGATCCCGTCCCCAGGAACTGCTCCTTGTCGAACACTGTGCCTAAGGCACGCGTCCACGCTCACTACGCTCTCTCCCTGGTTTCCTGTCATCCCACTGCTCGGCTCCCTCCTTGCTCCCCTTGGCGTGGCCTGGTCTCCGTGTTTTCTGGAAAAGCTCTGTTGTGCTCCACTGCGGTCATGTCAGCACTGCTGCTGCTTTAGATGCTTCTCTTCACCCTGATGCCTCCAGGATGAGGCTTCCAGTGCTGCTAATGGCCGATCGCAGACAGCTGTCACTGTGTCCAGCCGTGTGGTCAGGCTGTGCAGCCCAGTGGTCACAGTCCTCAGCTCTGAAGTTAGATAGCTGGGACCGGAAGCTCACCTCTGATGCTCACAGCCCCACTTTGAGTTCATGGGCTAGTTACCGCCTTCTCTGAGACTCCATTTCCTCATTCACAAAATGGGAATAATGGTACTTATCTCAGAGAGCTGTTGGGAGGATTAAATACAAATCTGAACACTTCTTATCATCCTTCTCTCTCTACATGTGCACTTTGAGGCAACGTGTGGACTGACTTTCTGACCTGAGCTGCAGCCCTGAGTGGAGGCAGGAGGCAGGAAAAGTTCCTACCGGTGGTGTCTACCCCCCACTCACTGACAGATCAAAGCAGCTCCTCCCAAGGGAGCCTGAACCACAGCAGGTCTGACGACCACTCTCCTTTCACCTCCTTCATTCTCGCTTCTCAGGGCTTCAATCATCCCTCAAAAATCTTCCTCTTTCTCTTGCCCCCTCCAGAATCTTCCTCCTTATCATGTCATCCATCCACTTCATCAGTTTTCCCAGCTTGCTCACTGTACAGTAGCTTACCCAACTTAAACGTTCTAAAAATCCCTCCTTAAAAAACTAGGAAAATACCCCCCATAATTATAACCACCCAAGATCTTTCATTAAAAATGCTGCACCATCAGACCCTCCATATAAAGGAGCAGCCCCCGCTGGTCTAGAATCCCTGGGAACTACGTGCAAAGCTGCGAACATACACCCACTCGTGAGGAATGGACACCTGGGTTAGTATTATCAACATGATGGCCAAGTCCACGCGTCACCTATTTCAGTGCCGAATGTCAAGCAGACCAGTGGCTGGGCCTTGCTGGAAATTTGGGGCTGCTAATCACGCCAATCATTCTCTCCGTTTTAACTGATAATTGGGGGGATGATAAGGAACCGGATGAAGACAGGAAGCTTTATATCTGGTCACTGAGTTCCCAGTAACCCCAAAACACTGGCTTTTGGAATATGTTGACAGACACGATGTAACTGTGGCCTGAGTTCAGAGAGGCTTCCACCTCCCTTACTCTAAATGGCAACCTTGAGAACTGCCCCCGGGAAATGATGGGCCTATAGAGCATTCATTCACTCAAGAAGTATTTGTTGAGCACCTACTTTGTGCCATGTACTATTCTAGGTACAAGAGACACATCAGTGAACAAAGCAGACAAAACCTTCCAGTCCATATGAAGTAAAGTCAGTTATTTAGCTTGTAAGACAGTGATAAGAACTATGGAGAAAAAAGAAGCAAGCTAAGAGAGATGAGTAATGAGGGGAGAGATCAGTGATAGCTTGAACAAGAATTTGACATTTGAGCAAAGACATGAAGGAAGTGAGTGTGTGAATCACACAGACGTCTATAGGAAGAGTGATCTAGGCACAGGAAACAGCAAGTGCAAAGGTCCTGAGGTGAGAACATACCTGGAGTGGTTCAAGGAATTGCAAGAGGCCAGTGTGGCCACCATGAAATGAGTTCATATATGAGAGAGACAGACAGAGAGAGAGAGAGAGAGAGAGAGAGAGAGAGAGAGAAGAGTAGAAGTAGTGGAGGGTCAACTCATGTGGGCCTTGCAGGCCTAGCCAGAACCCGGACTTTTCCTGCATGAAATGTGGAATCACTGGCAGGTTTTGAGCAGAGGAGTGCCGTGACCAGACTCTTGTGTTCAACCAATTACCCTAAACTCTAGAGAGTGATAATGGGGGCAGACAGAGCAGCTAGGAGGCTATAAAATAATCGCAATGAGAGGTGAGCATGGCTCGGTTCGGGGTAGCAGCACCAGGGGTGAAGAAAGGGCCAAGTTCTGGTATAATGTCCTAAAGAATCAATGGCCATGAGAAGTCCCCTGGAAGTGAGTAGTGAGAGAAAGTGAGCAGTACGGAGTGGGCTGTGGGCTTAAGCAACTAGAGCGATGCTCTCAGCTTTACTGAGATGGGGAGGCATTCGGGAGAAAGACCAGGAGTTCAGTATTGTATATCATAAGCATGGAGACGTCAAGGAAACCATTAGGAGACATCCAGGATGGAGATAGAAACACAGGGACCATGAGCATGTTCCTGGTATTTGAGAGTGGGTGGCATCACAGGAAGTCAGGGTGTAGATAAAGAAGAGGTCCAAAAACAAAACCCCAGGATGCTCCAACATTTAAGAGGCAGGAGGAGAGGAGGAATCCCAAAGGAGACTGACAGCATAAGCCAGGGAAGGAGGAAGAAATCAGGTGGCCTGGAGCCCAGTGAAGAAAGCATTTCCAAGAGAACGGATTCAAAGTCACATCTGGCTGATGAGTAGATGGATGGAATACAGTGAGGACTTTGAATTGACCATGGGATTCAGCAAGTGGCAGGGGGGGAGGCGGGGGACAGGGGGGACCTTGTCCGTTTCAGTGGGGCAATAGCCTGCTTGGAGGAGCTATGGGCAGAATAGAAGCATGGTCCTTGCACCAGCACCATCTGCATGGTCTGGAACTTGTTAGAAATGCAGACTCTCTGAATCGGAAGCTGCATTTTAACAAGATGCCCAGGAGACTCACACCTGCACGAAAAGTTGAGCAACCCTGGTAGCTATCCCCTGCCGCAGTGAGGAGAAGGGAGAGGCCTAGGTCAAGAGATATTTTTGTTGTTGTTTATTTGTTTGAAAGATGAGAAAAATAATAGTATATGTATAGGCAGACGTTCACCCAGCCAGTAGGCAGCCTGCTTGATCATTCTGGCCCCAGACAAAGATAGAAACAAAAGCCACGCTCAAAGCTGCCTTTTTACCATCATGGCCCCCCTCTGGCCAAGTGGGTGGCAGCCTTCCTTCCCACTAGAGTCAGACCAACTGCTCCTGCCCTCTCTGGCCCAAGGGAAAGCAGCAGAATCCACCTTTCTCGGGGCTCAGTCCGGCCAAGAACATTGAGCTCAGCTTAGTCATTTTTATTGCTTTTATTCCAGGTTTGGAAGGTGGCCGCGCCTTCTTCAATGCAGTCAAAGAAGGAGACACTGTGATATTTGCAAGTGATGACGAGCAAGATCGCATCCTGTGGGTCCAAGCCATGTACCGGGCCACTGGGCAGTCACACAAGCCTGTGCCCCCAACCCAAGTGCAAAAACTCAACGCCAAGGGAGGGAACGTGCCCCAGCTGGATGCCCCCATATCCCAATTCTGTAAGTAGATCGGCCATTTGCTCAAAATAGTTCTGTAGAGGCAATCTCCAAAGCTGAATTAGAAGAACCTAGTTGCTTTAATACGAAAGATTCATAAAAATCATGTTTGCTGGGGGGAAAAAAAAACAACACAGTGAGTCCAGGGGGGAAAGTTGGGGCAAAAATGTTAGATGAAAGTAATTTTAAAGTGCAATACTTGACACTTTAAGGACTAAACAAAGGGAAGTATATTTTAGGTGGATTTGTATCTCTTTATGAGAGTTTGGAATTCGCAACCAAACATGTATTTGCTTGAGTCCTTCAAAAATAGTAGATTATGCATGTCCTTGCCTCATTTCTTCCTATGAAAATAGGGTTTGATTTGAAAAATAATGTAAATCTGCAACCTAGAACCATTTAAAAAGAAATGATGACATTACCACATGGAGTGGAAACAAACAAACAAAGAAAAACCAGGGTCCCTAAAATCCTATTCTGAGCTAAACACCAGCACCCAAAACGTGAAACCATCTCCTTAAATAGCCCTGGTTCTCTTCCAGTTTCTTCTCCTTTTACCTCTACATGCATTTTAATTTATTTCCTCTTTGCCATGTCTTCTTGCTACTTGGAGAGTTGTTTTCTCTCCTGAGCCTTCTGATGCTCAGGGTCAGGGGAAATTTGGATTAAAACAGAGAAGATGGCGACATTGGAAACACAAAGCACCCAATCAGATAATTCATTTTAGTTACAAACATTGACCCTAAATAGTGGCTTTTGCCTTTCCCTGATTATCAAGTCAATTAGAGAGAGCGCAGGGACAAGTCATTTTTAGCTATCGTCATGGCGATGCCTTACTCTATCATTGAACCCACCCATTCAGTTTGGTTCACTGCGCACCTACCTAGGTGATGAGACACACTAATGAGAAAGACAGACGAGGTCCCTGCTCTCAGGGTACCTGCTTCCCAGTGGAGGAGTCGACATAGCCAGCAAGTCAGCAAAGAAATCAGATACTTTCAGACACTGAAAAATACCATGAAGAATGTCATGCCCAGTGGCTGAGTGAGGAGAGGGGACATTAGACAGCCCATCTGAGTATGAATCCAAATGATGGGGAGTCGGTCCCACAAACATCTGCAGCAAAAGAAGCGCGGCAGAAGGGGAAGCAAGTGCGAAGGCCCACAGCACAAACCCGGCTGTTAGCCCAGTGCTCAGACATAGTCCCTCTCAAGTTGCTCTTAAACGAAATGTAGATATGGATGGAATAATTATGCAGCTACAGCAACTAAATAGAGATCAATGCTCTTGCCAATGAATTCCACTGCCATGTCCATTTCTGTCTAATGAGAATTTCCTCCTAAACCTTGCAACACCTTTGCTGATGGGGAAAGACTCTTTTTGGATGACAAATACTATCAATCAGGTGCTCCCAGGAATTTCTGTCTAATACTGATGATTCTTAAAGGAAGATGCATGCCCTGTGAAACATTGTAAGTAATCACACAGCCACTGTGGATTTTCATGCAAAAATCCCAAAACAATGAGGAAAAGGTTGAGGAGGGACTGGGGAGAAGGGGCAGCCTTTTGACTAAAACCACCCCAACGTCCCCACTTTCTTCTTGTGGCATTCAGGTTTCATAGCTATAATGAGAGCAGGCATCATCTCTTTTTACTGTTTAGTTGTTAGTTGAGATAAACCATATCCAATATTTATTTAATTAAAAAAAACAACAACAACACCTATGTGATAGAATTCCTCCTTTCACCTTGCCCAACAGGCTCCTTTTAAAAATATATTTCTTTAAATATGTTTTTGTTGATTTTTAGAGAGAGAGAAAGGGAGAGGGATAAAGAGATTGAAACATCAATGATTTGAGAGAAATATCATGGATATGCTGCCTCCTGCACATCCCTCACTGGGGATCGAGCCTGGAACCTGGGCATGTGCCCCAACCAGGAATCTCACCATGAATTCTTGGTTGATGAGTCGGTCGATGCTCAACCACTGAGCCACACAATCCATTCCCAACAGGCTCCTTTTTAATACATTTGGAAATAACACACCCTCTGAAAGGGAGTTATCTTGTGTATCAACAGAAAAGTTTCCTAATTATAACCTCCATCCCATTCAATCTCATAAAACATGTATCTCAGGTGATATTTGGAAAATTCAAGTGTTATTTCCAAATAATCTCCATTTTTTCCTGAAGTCATTTCACCTTACATCCAGTGTGTCTGTTCTCTCATCTGCCCTGATTAAGACATTATTACTTGGTTTTAGCCTACTATTTTCTCACTAGAGTAGGAAAGAGGAAGGACGTTCAGGAGCAATACTGATAAAACAAGAGACGGCTGATGGGAGCTGTGGATGGATGTCTCCTCATGGAAACACTCAGGGGCTCTTGACTTAGATTTCCCTTTG